CCCTCTCTATTTCTGAGTCAGGGTTATTTTTTTAGGCCGCATCTTCTCCAAAGTACGCTGTGTTCTTCCGGGCGACCCGTATCTACTTCTTGATACTTCGTGTTCTTAAATCGGAGAGCATGTCGGCCTTTTGAAATCAATTAATGAAACAATTTGCTTGAAAAATCATGATTGCTCTGCATATGTTTATTCCTTTTTAAAATATCATTGGTCTGACATTAATGAAGCAACTAGATGTGTCCCCAAAACTGTGAGGAGGCTTAAGGACAATAGATGTGTTCTTTGAAGAAAGTGAAGATGATCATGAAGAAAGTGAGTTTGATGGTGATGAGGAAAACTGTTCAAGCCGTGAGGATATGTGTCCATGGATAAAGAGTCCCAGCCAAATGAGCAATTGGATGTTGATGTTGATACAATACTACTCCGTAGTAATCAAATGAAGTTGGGTCATGTTGGCGAAGATGAAGATGCGGCTGATTTTCATTTATTGGGCCGGTTTCTATGATATTGGGATGACCCGGAGGTGTTCCAATGTACCATTCATAAAATTGACGGTTTTTATCCCCTAACCCCCCACCCTGCCCCCACAATTGAAGGGGTGGGGGCGTGTTCGGGTCGAGGCGGGGTGTGGGGTTTATTAGGAGGGTTATAAGGTAGGAATCGCCAATTTTACGAACGGGGCACCGGAGCACCCTGGGTCATCCGATGACATTGTTTCATTCCCAATGTTATGGGAACCAACTCAACCAAGGGGTTAAACTATTCATCACTTACTTCATTCTATAAAATTTTAAAATTTTAATACATCTAGATCTTTGTTTAAACTTTACTCCCTTCGTCGCGATTTAAATTACTCCGTATCTGTTTTGATTTGTAATGTTCGACTAAAGTTATTTTCAAATTATTGAATATAAAAGAATGACATTGAATTAAAAAAACAAAAATTACTCCATATATATTCAAAAACTACATCAACAGATCTATAAAAGTAGTGGTAACATTATTATATTATTTTATCAAATAACTAATGAAAATAGAGAAAAAAAAATGAATAAAATTTAACCATGTGAATTGTAAACAAGTAATTTAATTTGAGACGGATGAAATATATGCTTCATTTTAATTATTTGTACGTTTGCATTTACTTTTCTATATAAATGTTAACTAATAGAATTGATTTATGTTTTTTTATTTTTAAAAATAAAAAAATGCACGATTAAGTTATTATTTTAAGAAATTAAAATTTGTTAATAAAAAATCAACATTGTTTACAAATTTTAAAGGAGTAGATTCAACAACACATTAAAAAACCTTAAATTATATGCGGGTGACTAGTGCATTTTCTGAGATTGTTAATATGAAGAAGCTATGAAGGTATATAAGGAAAGAGGGCTAAAGTGGGAATTCCATGGCTTTTCCCGTAGAAACTAACGGAACATCTTGACCTAACAGAAGTTTGGATGGAATGTCCCTCTTTGGACATTTGTTTGAAAAATAAGGTACCCTTGGAGTATACTCCCTCCGTTTGGAAAAACCCTTCCCATTTGATTTGGGGGCAAAAATAAGGAAGTGTTAAATTATAGTTGATTTCCAATTTTGCTCCTGATGTGATGGGTAAAAGTAAGATGTGATGGATAGATTATTAGAGAAAAAGTATGATGTGATAGGTAGGGTATGAAAAAGTAAGGGTAAAAGTGGTTTTTTAATAGAAAGGGGAAGTGTTTTGTTGGAAGTAAAAAAAATGAAAGAGGAAGTGTTTTTGAGAACGGAAGGAGTATTTTATAAAAAGGAGGGACCTGGTAGTTCTTACCATAAAATATAGGGTACCCGACAGTAATTTTTTGGGAAAAAAGTTAAAGAAGAATTTTTGTAAGGGACGAATTGAAGGAATTGAAGTTCTAATTTAAGAACGCTATATATTGATAGAAATATTTTATAATTATAAAATTTAAAACCACAAAATATTTTGTAAAATTGAATTTGTGGTTATAAATTTTACAAATGGACGAATTGAAGGAAGTTCTAATTTATTACACCTACAATTCTACAAATGCTGAACTAAGAGAGAAGAGAACCGAAAATCAAATGGTATAAATAAAAACTTTTTTTAATCAATTTATTAAAATATTATATGATAATATATGGAGGTAGTAATTGAATATGCTCATCATTTTTTACCTAACATTTTTTAATATAAGTTTTACACTTGGACTTTTATATTAAAGAAATAATTAAACTCCAACTTGTGTGTATGTGTTGAGAACGACGTATGACTGAATATTTATTGCGTTTATTCATACTTTTTATAAAACCTGGAAAACACCTATATATGATTTTGAGTATTGATGTTAACTTTGTCTTAATTATAAATTAAACTGTGCAAATTATTATTATGGGGATATACATACATTTATTTTTTTATTTTTACTTTTTTTATTACTACCTAATTTGCTTGTGCATGCATGTGAAAGACTCAAGAAGGTCTATGATACATCTATATGATCGATACACCTATGGGAGGAAAACATGGGATTGATATGCTCATGAAATTTGGAAAAATGCATGAAATCAATTTTGAAATATGAATTTTTTTTGGAAAGAATTGAAATCTGATTTCGTCTCACAAAATAATTTTTCTTTTACTTTATTCTCTACCCACAAAACACTTCTTCAAATTAAAAATCACTTTTTGGAAAGAATTGAAATCTGATTTACAATGTTTGACCGAAGTTATTTTGAAATTATTTTATATAAGAAATAGTGTAGAATTAAACAAAATTACTATATCAAAAGATTTACAAAAGTAGTAGTGACATGACTATATTATTTTATCAAATGACTAATGAAAATATAAAAATAAAATACATGAAGATTGACCATGTGAGTAATAAACATACAATTTAATTTCGGACGGAGGGAGTAATTATTACCTTATCTATCGCATTATCTCTATTGATACAAAAAATAGTTTTATTATAGTATTTATTATATAAAATATTTTCAAAATATTATTTTATCTAATTAATATACAATATATGTTTTATTTAATTATAGGTCAAAGATTGGAAACGGTTGGCTGAAAAAAGTAAAAACTGAATAAATATTCTAGGACGGAGGTAGTACACCCTTAAATTTACCAAAAGTCAAAATGAAAACTCTTTTTTTAAATAGAGGAAGTAGTTTTAATTTCAAGTCAATACAATATGAAAAACATTTAATTTACTCCCTCCATCCATAATTAATTATGGATTATATATCTATTATGACTTTTGAGATACATCCAAAGTTTAATGAATATATAGTCATGGTGTGTGTTGATATTTATTCAACTTTTGATATATCTCAAAAATCATATGGAGAATAGAGAATTACTTGTAAAAAAAAGGATGAGTCTCATTCTCGAGGGCCCCTTCAGGCCCGGTCAGACGGTCACTGAGAGAAAGTAAATTTAACTTTAATCACAGATTGGTGACAAAGAGTGGAGCTTGCACCTGATGCTTGCAAAGGTCATATGCTTAGCATAGTTGCCTCCCAGCACAGTTGTCAGGAATTAAACTCGGGTCTTACCCCTTTGGCACTTCTTGTCTTGCCAACTGTACAACGCCCACTGGCAACCCATCATTGTGAATGCTAACCCAAAGGGATTGATTATTAGTAACCCTTAATTGAATTGCTAAGCCAAAGGGTACCCTTAATTGAATTGATATCCAAAAAGACAACAGTTAAACTTGCCAAAATGGGACAGGGTTGATTATTAGTAACCCTTAGAGAGGGATATATATAGATCCTTCTACTCCATTACATATACTTTAAACATGAGTTATATCGATCAATAATGTGCTTTTGCCTCACGAATGGATTTGATTCAATGAGGTGATGAGAAAAAGTAGAAGACAAAGGAAGTGTGAGATTCACTCACTTTTGTGGGCGACCCATCATTGTGAGGAATGTTGTCCTACAAACTTGTTTTTTTTAATTAGTGCCTATATATATCTTCCTATAATTATATAATAAGTGCCTATTCAATTATATTATATTGCTCTCTAAATATTGAGACGTAAGAAACTTTACAATTATCTCTCCATAACCTTTCTCACTTTATTTTTAAAAAAGTGATATTTAAAAAACTTATAACTTTGAAGTAACTTTTCAATTTTGTTCTTACTAGGATAAAATTGGATGTGTTGAATAGACTATTACTGAATAGATATGATGCGAAAGTTAGGTTAATAATAATTAGTAGTGAAAAAAGGGTGATTTTAACTCAAACTAGAAGTAATTTAGGACACATGAAAAGTAAAAGTAGAAACATTTTTTAGAACAGATGGAGTATAAATTACCAAAATAAATAAAAAAATAGTGAGACATATATATAAGAAACTTACAAATTACGGAGTATTATTTATTTCAGTGTTTCAACATGTTGAAACTATAAATAAATGCAAATCAAATCAAAATACCATTAATCCATACAATATAATTTTTTAGCTAAGCGGTTGGCGAAATTTTTTCAGCTTATAAATCATTTATTCCGCTGACCGATGCAAATAGGGCGTTTTATTTGGTCGTTGTTGTAGTAGTGTGAATGTGGGCATAATGCATGTTAATATTCATTGAGAGTTTAGTGTTGGTTTTTTTTTTCTTTTGAGTGACATCGTGAGTGTTCCATACATTTTGGTCCCTTTTTTTAGAATAGTGCCTAGAGGTTGCTTATCATTCTTTTTCTTTAAAAGTTTTAATTAAAAAAGATGATTGAGTGAGATGTTGCTTTGGTTTGAGGACTATATATCATATATCACACATTTATGCATTCACACAACAACAACAACAACTACAACACCACTCCCTCCATATATTATGCACCTAGCATTCACCATATATCTTTCTGGTGAGCATTTTTTATTTTCTCTATACAAAAACAAAATATATTCAAATAATAATAATAAAAATAATATGTAATAAAACATATATATATATATGTATAATTAATAATATTCTTGGAGATTAATAAATAAAGAAAAGAGAAGGGGGGATATGATGGAGGGTAGTAATGGTAGTAGTAGTAATGTTCCACCAGGGTTCAGATTCCATCCAACAGAGGAAGAACTTGTGGGGTATTACCTGAACAGAAAGGTTAATTCCTTGAAGTTTGATTTGGATGTTATTGCTGATGTTGATCTCTATAGGATTGAGCCTTGGGATATTCAAGGTATGTTTGTTTGTTTGTTTATGTACCTTTTATTTTCTATCTCAGATCTCTGATCTCTTTTATTCATTAATTATTATTTCATTAATTTAAGTGTTTTTAATTTCTCATCATCTCAGCTCCTCTATTATTAATTATAATCTCCCTCTCCCTATATAATTAAGATTCTTGTTTTGATTTTCGATATTCGAAAGAATTTGCTTTTTTTTTTAGTATATTGTAAAAATTATTATATAATTTAAAAATAGATATTTAAAAATCATATACATTAATGATCGAGTTTTATTTTACATAATAAACAGTGACTATTTTATTCTATTTTATCAAGTAATCAATATAATAAAAATATGTAAAGAACGAATATATAGATTATTTAGGTGAATAGTGAACATAAAACGTATTTTTTGATGGAGGGAGTAAATTAAATTACAATAAAACGTATGAATCAAGTTATTAGCACCAAATGGCTTTGTTTCATGATGATACATATAGTGTTAGAATTTCTTTATAATTTTCTAATCGTTTTCATTAAATATGTAAAGGCTAAAAGTAAAAATTACTCACATTTTTTTTGTAAGAATGACGACCTAACTTATTTATTTGAATTAGGTGATACATAAATAAATTTAGCAATTAAATTGTGACACGTTTAATTTAAATTTCAGGTAAAAGAAGTAATTTTTAATAAAAGAACACTAAAATTACCAAACAAAAAATGACAATTATAAAACTAAATGTGTTAGAGTAGCATTCAAATTCTTTTTGGGTGTCTTTCTAAAAAATAAGTTTGCAGAGTTTTTTGATTGAGTTGATTTCTTGACAATACTGTCGGCTACGGCGGCAACCAAATAATATAATCAAGTGCAGATAAATGCAAGTTGGGAGGACATGAGGAGCAGAAGGAGTGGTACTTCTTCAGCCACAAGGACAGGAAGTATCCGACGGGGAGCCGGACGAACCGGGCGACGGCCGCCGGATTCTGGAAGGCGACGGGGCGGGACAAGGCGGTGGTGGCGGCGAAGGAGGAGAAGATGATAGGGATGAGGAAGACATTGGTGTTTTACAAAGGTAGAGCCCCAAATGGCACCAAAACCCATTGGATCATGCATGAATATCGCCTCCAATCTTCTCTCCATGCACCTACCCAGGCATGATATTTTCTCTTGTCTCAAAATCATCTTTTCGTTTTGATTTGTGATTCTTTTATTGAAGTTATTTTCAATTTGATTTACTTTTTAAAATTAAGGAGGCCCCATCTAATTAGGTTAATTTTTACCTTAAAATACCCCTTAAAAACCTTCTATCCATGATAAAAGAAAACTGAGATGTACTTTAGACTCTTAGGTGGAGGTAGAAGTGTTTTGTAGGATGCACAAAAAGTGAAAGTGATCAAAACTGTACCTTCTAAATAACGCAGGAAATACAAGACAAGATGTGATGGAGACTATTTTATTTTGGGATGGAGGGGTACATGTAAGCAAAGTCTTGTTCGGAAACAAAGTTTTCAAATAAGCATTTGATTTTTTTAGATAAAATTTTAAAGTGTACGAAATAAATTTGAAAGGGCAATGCTAGGTGTTCACCAACATGGGGTACCCCAAGTGTACACCAAGCCAACACAGACACACACAGACACAAAATGTATGTGCAACACAGACACTTTGTGTCTGTGTGTGTCTGTTTTGGCTTTGGTGTACACTTGGGGTACCCCATGTTGGTGTATCCCTAGCTTAATTCAATTTGAAAACGCTAAATCTAAATGATTCCATTGGATAGTTGAACATGATAAGAAGTGCAAAGTTTGTCTCCTCAAACAAAGCATCTTCAATTATTTCTCTAGCTTTGTGACCCAATTTCTCAACATATTTTAACTGTTTTCTACTGTGAATTTAAACAAATTTGGAAGTTGTGCAGGAGGAAGGATGGGTGGTATGCCGTGCATTCAAGAAACCAATCCCAAATAACAATAGGCCAGTAGGAGGAGATGGATTATATGATGCAAATTGTAATAATTACTACTACCTTAGAGACCACCACCACCACCACCACAATGGTTGTTCCCGGCAGCCACTGCCGCCGCCGCCGCCACCAGCAACCACATTTTTCTCACCGCCACACCATTTCAACCACCTCAACGACTACGACCAAATCGCCATCGGCCCCATCGTCCCCACGGCGGTCACTAGTCACGAAGATCACCATCATCATCAAAAGGAATTTGACAAGATGAATGGTTATGCAGATGATCATAATAATGATCCTCAGAACCTCGCCGCGATGATGGTCCCCTCCTATTCATTTGCTAATATGCCGCCGCTGCTCATGCGGCATGATGATGACCATGACCACATGAGTCATCTTTTTGGGTGCTTCCCGGATTTATAGCCCGGTCCGATGGGACCGGGACATATATATATATATATATATATATATATATATATATATATATATATGCTTATATATATTGACCATAGTGATTCCAATACAAAGAGCGAAGTAACACGTCCTGTATACTTGCTGACTAATTGACATTTCTACCACGATCGGAGAGACACGTTTCAATACTAGATGTTCATGAATGAGTCTCAACTAGACATATGGAACTTAAAATGCTCAAACAATGGTCATTTTAGGTTTTTTCGAAAAAAATAGACTTCTATACATATCTATATGTGTTTACAAAGGTATTCAGTATTTATTAAAGGGTTCATTCATTCATATTTAAGTGATTATCAAATGTATATTGAGGGTCATATACTCAAAGAATGAGAAGGTGCATTGGCGCGGCTATCCAATTAATGTTTCTTTACAAAACAAATGAGTTTGTTTTAATTTTAATATGTTGTGATCTACAAAAAAAGTGAATTTATGTATATTGTTTGAGTTTTTTTAATTAAAGAAACTACTTGTTTAGTTTATACATAGTTATATGCTTTATGTACGATAAAGAGTTTATCATTTACAGTACATGTTTTCTGCTTTTTCTTAGGGTGTACGTTTTCGTGATCATGTGATTCATGTCATTTTCTATTCAAAGCTAAGCTGTTGTCTGGAAAGAAAGGTTTCACATTTAAGAAGATAGGATGAATTACTGCTTTGGTTTATAAAAATGACATATATTAGGAACCATAAGATTTGTAGCACACTACTCTGGGAATCAAGTTGAAGGATCTAAAACGAAATGGTTTTTAGAAAGAAGAAAAAAAACCGTAGTTATTGTAGAGCAGGGTCAATATCTGAAAGTGTGACCGCAGGGTAGTCTTCATATCCAGCGATACCCAATATTCTTATTCGTGTGATTGGCTGCAGATATTTGAAAGAGAAGAAAACAACACATTAACAATAATAGACGAAAATGTACTAGTAACACGTTAACAATAATAGACGAAAATATGTAAGTGATGGCTTTGGCATACCTGGCGATGACCTATTTTCCTTCGATAGTGCTTCTTCTTCTTATACTTGAATACAATGACCTTATCATCCAATAGCTATTTGGGAAAAGAAAAAAAAAGAAAAAAAGAAAGATCATATGATGATGATGGGTTTGGAAATTCATGTCATCGTTGTTTGGATAGTCACAACAAGAACAGTACAAGGTGTTAAACTTCGTTTTGTTCTTGCTTCCAATGATGTTTTGGGTATGATAAAAAAGAAAAAATTAAGAAAATAGAGAAATGGGATTAAGCTGCAGAGAAGATGAAAATGAGAGGAGGGGATGCCACACCTGATCCTCAACCACAGCATGAACCGCTGCATTAGTTACCACTGGTTTTCCAATCCATGTGCTTGTTTTGCTTCCTACCAACAATACCTTGTTTAAAATAATCTGCAAAAAGGTTAGAGACTCTCAGCTGCAAATTCTTGTGACCCTTTTTATGACATAAAAAATCTGCAAATTCAACAACTGTAATTGTTTTTTCTTTTTGAGTTTTTTGCCTTGTTTCTTGTGGATGAAGTGTTGCATTGGAGTGAGTAAAAAGTATTCCATGTACTATGTAAATTGGAAAGAAAAATGAAAGAGATGAGCAGATAAATGAGAGACGAACGTTTGTGAAACAAATAAAAGAAAGTCTTATAAGAAACAAAAAGATTCTCACTTTGTCATTTACGTTTGCACCCTTTAGCCGCTGAGTATAGATGAACCGTCCAGGGATGACAATATATTGACGAGATCCAACCTAATCAAGGATCATATCCAAAATTGTAATTGTAGTGAGCATTTGCATACTTCTCATACTCAAAAAGGCACTTATTCAAGCAACTGAAAGTACATTGTATAAATCGCATAGATATAGAGTTAACTATGCTAAAATAAATGTAGCCTTTGGAACCCAATACATCAACGACAGTAACAAACCCAACATAATCCCACAAAAATATAGTCTGAAGAGGGTGTGAATACGCATACATTACCCCTACGGCCCTACTTGACAGTATAGAGAGACTGTTTCTAAGAGACCCATGGCTCGAGAAGAATAACATGGACAAAAAAACACATAAAGAACAAATTAAGGGAGAGCACGCACACTAGAAACAAGACTCAAAGCACATAAGCTACAGACCAAGGCAAAAAACACACCATCATAAACTATAAACTAAGGCCTAGATGTCTAACCAGTTTCTCAAATCTTAGATCTCCAAACATTTATATCTAAAGTCATATCCTTGATAAAAACCTGAAGTCGTAGGTCATGTCTAATAGCATCCATCCAATTCTTTCTAAATCTACCTCAACCTCTACTCATGCTTACTACCGCAAGTCTCTCGCATCTCCTCACTAGGACCTCTGTTTTTCATACCTTTAGTGCCCAAACCAACCCCATCTAGATTCTTGCAGCGTATCCTCCCCAAGAACCATTTCCAAGATTGGAAGCCCAATATTGTCACAAAAATCACTTATAACGGAACTACATAACCTCGACGAGTTGCACATTTCTTGATAGATTGCTTTCCGTTAAGTGCTTGTTTTTCTTGAGGGATTTTGGATGGTAGGGAAGGGGAGGATCAAATTTTTTTTCTTTTTCCTAATTCATCTCTACTTGTTAGTCTTAAATTAGAAAATAACTACTACACCGAGGTATATATTTTTAGCTATGTTACTCTATATATTTTTTCATATGGTAAATATTCCCCAGCCAAACAAGGACTAAAAGTGTGGCAGAACTCTTGAGCTAGAATCAGAGTAGAGAACAAAGCTGCAAGAGCAATTTGCTTCCAAACGCACTCTAGTGGCGTAGGTACTTGTTTGGCCAACCTTGAACTTCAAGGATAAAATTGAGCTCCAAAGTATGCAGGGCCAAACAAGCACTAAAACAGCAAGTTCATATCAAACTTGTCCTTCAAGAACATTGCAAGTATGATACCTTCAAGATTTAAACTTTGCAAAAACCCTAGGCAATAATCCCTCTTCCCTAGAATAAATTCAACACAGCATTTTCATCTGAGCAAAGCAAAAATCCTACCAAGAACAGCAATTAGTACTAAAAACAGACATTAACGAGAAATGTAAGGATTCGACTCACCATGACAACGGCAAACAGTTCTTCCCTCTTGGCTTCGGGAACCGGCAGTTCTGGGACTAGCGGTTCAGATTGCGGTTCGGGTTCAATAACCCTAGAATCGGGCTCGGATTCGGCCAGAGAGGACTCGGGTTCCGATAATCTGGCGACAAAATGCGGGTGCAACGGTAGCGGGTTGGGGGAGGAGTGGAGCCGGAGAGAAGATAGAGAGCGAGAGAGAAATGGGATGTTCGGGGCGTCTCTAGAGAGGGAAAGGTTGAGTCTTTGCTTCTGAGCTGGGCAGAGAGGTGAGAAGGAAGAAGGAGATGAACAGAGAGAAAGGCTCGCCATTGAAGAAGAAGAAGAAGAAGAAGATAGCTTTTTGCTTCTCTCTCTGGGGTTCTTTCACTTCTTTGCACCAAACATGGATTTATCCAGTGATTATTACGAGTATTCTGTTTCTTGAACATTCAAATGTGTGATGAAAATAGATTCTTCAAAATTTTATACTCCACTAAACATAAACTAAGGGGGTGTATTGTATAAGGAATCTTATTCATTTAAATAGAAATCCGTGGAGTTTGAAAGTTTGGGTGTATTCAATTGTAACTTTTTAAAATCTATAAAATTCTGATTGTATTCAATTAGGATTTTAAAAAGTCATTATAAATTCAACAAAAGTCTAGCTGTATTCAAAATAGACTTTTAAAATTGAAAAAAAATCTAGAGGTATTTAAAATAATATTAAACCCATGGATTTAATAAAATCATTCATATTGAAGATAATTTACTCCAGGACTATAAATACACTTTCTCCATTATTTTCTTCACACAAGTGCAGGTATTCTTCCTCGACTTTTTTATGCAAGATCAGAGCCCTAGGTCTGCCGCTTCAAAGCCTCATCATCCTCAACTGCCGGACAGCTTGAAATCATAGCAACACAGTGCCGTCGAGTAAGATTTTCATTCTTTTGAGATTCAATCCTTAATAGCTTGCTTTTTCTTTTGATTTCGTCTTGTCGTTTTTTTACGGATGTGATGTGATTTTCTTCTATGAACCATTGTTTCTTTTCAATTATTAGGCAATTATGTGGTGTATCATGGAACACGATTGTTTCAATTTTGCAAAGTATCTATTCCCTGAGTTTTCTTCATTCCTATTTTTTATTTTTATTTTTGCAAGATTCGCAAAGTAAGTTAGGCCAAAAACGATTATTGAATTACTTTTACAAGGTGCCAGGGTTTAATTCTTTGAATCAATTAGGCAAAGTTGGCAAATGACAATTGTTAGGCTTATTAGGTAATTTTATTTTTAGAATTAGGTTTACGATGTTCTAGATTTATAGGTACTTTTATTTTTAAAACTTTTAATAAATCAATAAAAGAGGTTTTCAAACCAAAGTTCAAGCTTCCTTTTGGAGGAACATGTCTGGTCCACAACAATTTGCAAAAGCAAAGAATGGAAAACACTAGTTCTGCATTTTTTTTCATTTATTTTTATACATTTTGTAGAAAAAAAATGTTTTTTTCACTAGAAATATGGTGTGGGATTAACTCCTGCACTTCAGCCTAGACTATTATTTACTACTACCCCACAAGTAAGTGTTACTAAAAACTAAAGTGTACCAGTACTACACACTAGTATCATTGGCAAAAAGAGGAAATCATGCCTAATCACCAAGGCCACATGCTCTCCATCTCTACTCACTCAGAGGGATTGTACCGCAGATGTTGCTCATAGAAGTTTATCAGCTGCACAGTTTAGCAAAACACACCACATAAGTTACACTTGTGCTTGAACAAAATCAGACTTGAAAATGGGAAAATTTTGCGGACCAGAAGTGGATTGTTTGCCTTTAGAAATTTGTTGTCCACCGTTATTAAATTATGCATGTTCTTTAGTATTTGCCAATTATATTTGTGTTGGTCCAAAACCTACGGATCAGTTTTTTTGCATTGAGAAATAGGAATAGTTTATATGATTTTTGTTCTATTTCTCGTATGATGTAAATTGATTTATGGTTGACTATAGAGATGGAAGATTCACAAGAGAATGGTAAACGAAAGGATTATAAAACTTGGTCAACCGAAGAAAGTAACATATTGCTGCAATTGATGGTTGATGGAGCAAAACGTGGTCTACGTGATGTTAATGGAGTCATTACCAAACAAACGGTGGAAAAGAAACTTCTTCCAAAACTTAAGGAAAAACTTGGTTATGAAATTAGTTTTAGTCAATATCAAAGTAGAGTGAAATGGTTTAAGAAACAGTACTCTAATTACTCTAAGCTTCTACGCCATAATTCTGGATTTGGGTGGGATGCAACCACAAAGAAATTCACTGCTCCTAATGAAGTATGGGAGGATTACTTAAAGGTGAGCTAATATTTTTCTTCAATTTTTTTCTTTAAGTTAATGCTTGAAATCATGCTCACAATTTGAGCGTTTTTGTCCTATCATCAGTCCAATCCAACACATGGATTTTTTCGGACTGATACTTTTTCAGATTATGATGACTTGAGAATCGCGGTAAGAAATGGAACTGCAACAGGCATGAATGCAATTGGCCTTGGCAGTGACACAGATGCCACTATATTAGGAGTAGAAGAAGAAGATGAAGTTGATGGGTTTGAGTCCATAGACAAGTTAGTCTTTGATGAAAATACTAATGCCTTCATACAAACTGATCTAACTTCACCAGAACCTACAAAAAGTTCAAACACAGAAGATCAACATTCATCACACAATAACGTCCAAGGAAAAAGGAGTAGAGAGGATTTTGAAAATAGAAAAGGAAAAAAGGTTAGTAAAACTCAAGATGAGGTGTTAGTGAACTTGTCAAGTGGGTTTGAAAGAATTGTTAAGAGCTTTGATAAAATTTGTGGCCTGATGGAGAAGAGAGAGTCAAGAGAGAGTGACCTTTTGGATGCGATGAAGGAGACGCCGGGACTAACTGATGATGAATGCTTTATGGCTCTTGATTTGCTTAACACCAAAGCAAAGCAAGATTTCTTCTTGAAGATGACTCCTGAACAACGATTAAGTTGGATCATCTCTAAACAAATGCAGTAGTCTTAAGAGTTATTTTAGCAATAGATACTTTTTTTTACGTATTTGTTTGAAGTAGTTTTTATTCTTATTAGTAGTTGAGACTTGTGTGTTTTGAATTACACCATATACTTTGATGATTTTATTATATATGCGAATTGACGTACCCTATTTATTTGTTTTTTTCTTGTTAAGCTATGTCTGAAATAGATCTGTATGGAGCCGATGAAGATGAAGTAGAATTTTATGAGGCAGTTAAAATATTATTATTAGCAATAAAAGCAGTTATTTCTGTGATACATAACCTCCTTTTGGACCTTGGTGGGGAACCTGTTGGACGGCCATTGACTCGTCGATCAGTGAGTTCTACTGGATACGAGTACATGCACAAAATATTAGATGATGACCCTCATAAGTTTAGAATGCTATTCAGAATGTACCCAGATGTGTTTCGGAAATTATGTTTTATCCTAAAAGAGAAAACACCTTTAAGAGACACAAGGTATATTTGTGTTGAAGAAATGCTTGCAACTTTTTTGCTAGTTGTCGGTCAAAACAATCGTTATAGTGAACCTAAAATGATATTTCAACGATCACACTTCTCGATTAGTAGAAGTTTCAACAAAGTGTTGAAGGCTTTGAATACAATAGCACCAGATTTTATGGCTAAGCCAGAGTCCGTACCATACATCATCAGAGAGAGCACAAGGTTTTATCCTTACTTTAAGGTAAGTTATGAAAATTAACACTGACTTTAGACCATCTTAATTATACACCAATAAATATACATTTTTTTTGTAATTTATTTTTTCAGGATTGCGTTGGAGCGATAGACGGCACCCATATTCCAGCAATGGTAGTTGGGCGTGATGTGAGTAGTTATCGAAATCGTCATGGGACTATATCTCAAAATGTCTTAGCTGTATGCAATTTTGATCTACAATTCATTTACGTACTTAGTGGATGGGAGGGTTCTGCCCATGATTCAAAAGTTTTAAATGATGCGCTTTCTAGACCAAATGGGCTCAAAGTGCCATCAGGTATATATTTTTTCTTCTTAAATTGAGTCTCTTATTATTGTAATTTATGCCACACATAAATGCATATTTATTAGATAATATTTTCATGAATAGGTAAATATTACTTGGGGGATTGTGGTTTTCCAAATCGTTGTCAGTTTTTAACACCGTTTCGAGGTACTCGATACCATCTTAAAGATTTTGGCGGAGGAGGAAATCACCCTACCAATGCACGGGAGTTGTTCAATCTTCGACATTCTTCCTTAAGAAATGTAATTGAACGAATATTTGGAGTACTCAAGTCACGATTTACAATATTCAAAACAGCACCACCATTTTCATACAAGACACAAGCAGAACTTGTTTTAGCGTGTGCGGGACTACACAATTTTCTTCGACGTGAGTGTCGTTCAGATGAATTTCCTCCAGCTCCGGATGAAGACACAACAAATGAAACAGATGAGAGTTATGAATGGGATGATACTCAAACCCAAGATCAACAACGAGAGAAAGCTAACGAATGGAGATTGAATCTTGCAAATCAAATGTGGGCAACGGCTAATAGTGAAAATAGTTAATTCGTTACTTTAATTGTTTTACAATTAGATTTGTTTTCATTTTTTGTTGCAACATTTGATTGAGATGATGAATTTTATACAATGCAATGTTTTTTTCCCATGTGTGCTTGGTCAATTTTTTATTTTTTAAATTTAAATTTGATAAATTTTGATCATCACTTAAATTAAAATTACATTATCAATTAGTATTAAAATAATACAACTGGAATTATCTTGTAAAAAATATTTTTAAAAAATATTTTAGTTTAATTTATATAAAATAATATATATAATAATTATTCGGTTAAAATAAAATTTATTTTGTTATTAATATTAAAATATAATATTTATTTAATTGAAAATTAATCTTATTTGAGTGTAAAAACTAACGCTAGATGGACATACTTGAATGGTAGAAGTGAAATCTATAACATTATTCAAATAAAAGTCCATAAACTTTTTAAAATCCATAGAAATTATTCAATAGAAGTCTATCACTTTCAACACAAGTCCATAGAAATTATTCAATAGAAGTCAACGACTTTTAAAATATGAATAGAAGTCTATGACTTTTAACACAAGTCCATTGACATGAATAGAAGTCATTGATTTTAAAAATATGAATAAGATTTTAAAAATGTCAAAAAATACTTTTTAAGACTTATACGGTCAAAATATATTGCTCCTTCCGTCCTAAAAAGATGGTAATATTACGCAAAACGAAGTAAATTTATGAGTTTTTTTAAATCATTTTATTAAAAGATTAGTATAGAAATAAAAAATTACATATTTAAAAATTACGTCAAACGTTTTACAAATTAATAAGTGACAAAAATATTTTTTTATGAAATAATCAATAAAAACGCAAAAATGAACAAAAATTCTCATAATTTTTAGATAGTGAAATGTTGAATCTTTTTGGAACACGGGAGTATAAAAAGCAATCGTAAAATATTAACAATAATGACAATTTATGAATACCAATAATTTTATTTAGAAGATAAATTTAATGAAGTTGAGAATGAATTTAATCAAACATTGATTTCTAGAACAAGACTTTATTTTCAACTAAAGTATGGATATTTAAATAATATTCTTTCAACTTTTAATCTTTATGTCATTTTTACATGAAAAAATAACTTTGCAACAAAAGAGAGTAATATAGAGCACGAAGAATATATATGATGAGATACAAAATATTCTTCAATTGTCCTAATATTCTATACTCTTATAGAATATACTCTTATACAAAAGGTTTAAAGAAAAAAGAAAAAAGTTACTTGTACAAATTAAACGAGCATTTGCATACATAGGGTTAGTGTGATAAATGAATGATTCATGAATCTCATTGTGTATGATGATGATCATTTGCTCCAAAGGCATCAGCCAAGTTGAAATTCAAGTTGCCTCTCATACTTCTAGCTGCAAGCCCTGCATTTCCTTTCCTCATCATTGTTGCAAATTCTCCATAATCGATTCTCCCATCCTATATATACATACAGACAAACACACAATTATACTCGTAATTCACTTTGAATGTTTACGAAATGAGCATTTTTCTGTGCTTATAAGCTGGTCAAACTACATATAAACTATTTTTAACTTATAAGTCAACTGATGACGTGTTTTCATCTTTATTCACTATGCTCAGAAATAAATCAATAAACACCAACGCAGAGAAAAACACCTCAAAGTCACTCTACTCTTACTTTGTAGGTATGTCTCAAGGAAACAATCGCTCTCCAATTGTTGTTTTTTGTATTTTCAGCCTAAGTATGAAAACAATGAGGTAGAGGAGGAAGGAGGTGATTACATTGTCGATATCGATCTCTTTGATGGTCTCCTCAAGATGAACATCGCCGAGCCCGAATTCTTTGCAGGCTTGTTGGAGCTCGTCGACGGTTATATAGCCGCTGCCATCCTTGTCAAAGTAGGCGAAAGCCGCCAGCAGATTCTCCTCTCTTTCCATCTTGTTCAAGTGCAGTGTTGCAGCAAGAAACTCTCCATAGTCAATTGTCCCACTGTTGTCAATGTCAGCCTGATGTACATATATAACATACTCACATCAATAAACACACACAACTTACACCTCTGGGTACATCTATTCTAAAACCAGAGTTTGACACCATGCGTTGCGTTTCACATACATGTACACACAATGATTGAAGAATAATGCTAAAAACCCGCCACCAGTCTCGACTTCACGGATAACAATCATAGATAATTTTATACATACACAGACGATAATCATTCGTGTCCACAGATGATGATTATAGTCAGCTAGTATATGTATAAATCATTTGTGATTGTTATCAATGGGGGCAACCGTGGTGGGTCCCATGCATGGTCCATGCATGTCTGTGAAAGAGATGGTGTCAAACTCGGTGTGAACGAAGCGCAGTGAACGCAAACCGCTTGCATGAGAGCGCGAATGTCAGACTCCATGAGCTCGGACCCGACTCTCTTCAACCCTTGTTCCAATTCCTCGAATGTAATGCTTCCACTCCCATCTGTGTCTATCATCTTGAACAGCTGTCTCAACCCTCCTATCTCCTCCTCAGACAGCCTCTCTGCAATCACCTGCACACATTTTTGCATCATCATGACAATAGCATTGCATCACAAACAAAACATGTAGCGTGTCGTCCAGGGGGCATACGCGAAGTGCCATCTTCTTGAGCTTGTTCATGGCAGAGAATTGTTTCAGTCGCGACAGAACGGCTGAGCCCAATGGCTTGTCTGGAGCAACCGTGTCGTCCACAATCCACGGGTGCCCTACACGTTCAATCCACAAATGCTATGTTCATTTCCAAATAAGCCCCAAACACTTTGTTGGGAGTTGGGTTTGGATTCAAATCTCATAATTCTATCATTTTTTGGTAAGAGTGTTTAACTCACTTAAGACCTCATGAGCTGTGATTCGTTCCTTGGGATCTCTGTGAAGCATCTTTTTGATCAAATCCTTTGCGCTATTAGAAATGGATGGCCAGGGCTCAGACTCAAAGTCTATTTTGCCTCTGAGAATTTGCTTAAAGATCCCATTATCTGTTTCTGCAATGTAAAAGTTTTCTTTCTTTTTTCAGTTTTAAATTCCAAGATTCCATTTTTAAAAAAATCAAGAAAGTGATGAAACCCTAGGGTGAGGCTTTATTTTCTTTATCAAAAAGGAATTTTTGAGTAATTTACCTGCCCAGAAAGGAGGAACACCTGATAAGAGGATGTAGAGAATAACACCAGCACTCCATACATCAATTTCAGTTCCATAGTGTTTTTGCAACACTTCTGGTGCAACATAATATGGGCTTCCTACAACATCAGATAGATACTGCCCTGAAAAAAAATAAAAATGCAAGTCCCATCAGCTAGCTCTTAGAGTAGAAGAGATAAATAAGAAGAAGAAAAAGAAGGAGAAGAAAAAGAACAAACCGGGCTTGTAAAAAACAGAGAGGCCGAAATCGGTGGACTTAAGCTTGGCATCCTCATCAGAGCTATCGAACAAGAAATTCTCCGGCTTCAGATCCCTATGCATCACCCCCAACGAGTGGCACGCCTCAACCACCCCGGCTATCGTCTTCATCAGTTGCGCTGCCTTCCTCTCGCTATAATGCCCCTTCGCCACAATCCTGTTGGAAATATATTAACTGATCGTTCATTATGACTTTCTTGATACAATGAAAAATGAATGAACATAGACATAGTAACGTCTACATTCATTCATTTTCCAATGTACCAAAAAAGTCTTAACAAACAATTAATACAGAATGAAGGGAATTGGAACAAAATCATATCCAATGACAACCATACATGACATACAATCACCTGTCAAAAAGCTCGCCGCCTTTGCAGAGCTCCATGACCAAGTGAACGAAAACGTTGTCCTCGTACGTCCCTTTGATTCTCACGACGTTTGGATGCTCGGACAAATGGTGCATTATCTGAATCTCCCTCCACACGTCCTCGTAGTCGTCCCTGCACAAAAGCTTTCTTTTTGGTATGGTTTTGCAGGCGTATTCCAAGCCTGTGGCTTTCTCTGTGCATTGGTATGTTGTCCCGAATTGCCCCTGGCCAAGCTTTTTCCCGAGGGTATAATGGTCCCTCAACCTCGGAGTTTGGTATGGTAGCACATTCATTGATGGCTTTGATGATGTTTTCTTCATCTTTGTTCTTCCCCCTCCTGCAGGCATCTTTGTTTGCTTTGATGATATATGTTTTGTTGTTTTTGTTGTGGGAGACTTTTAGTTAATGTTTTTGGATTTTGAGATGAGAAAAATTGTTTTTCTTTGTGTGTGTTTTGGAGAGAATTTCTCCGAGCTTCAAAGTGATTTGTTGTTCTTCATATATATATGTGGAAAGAGGGACACTTGCTTGGCCAAAATGTGTGATGATGGAGGATATATTTATAAATAAAAAAGGAGGAAATGAATAAAATATTTTTTTTCAAAATATATACGGAACATTGCCAATTTATTTCAACACATAAGATTTTAAAAAATAGAAAAATATGATTTTAGCTTTAAGTTGATTTATTTATTACTCCCTCCGTCCCGCTATATTCGTCCACTTTTGACTTTTGGAACTGTTCATCTAAGCACTTTGACTCATCAAATTTTCTCAATGTGTAAGCCTAAATATAGTCATGTGTGATCTTGTTTGATTTGTCTTAACATATAGATTATTAATATATAATTTCTATAATTTTTTAATATACAAATTACAAGATAAAATGGATTAAAGAAGTGTATTGGATGGTGTGCAAAAATGAAAGTGGACAAATACTCTAGAACGGAGATAGTATTTATTACAAGGTTTATTGAAAGTTAAAAGTTGGAATGACACCAGAAAAATAAAATAATGAAAACTCATCTTAGATTATTTGAACATGTGAAAAGAAGACTAGTAGATATAATTAAGAGAAACTTTCATTTTGCATAAATGATCTCATAACTTCCATAGCCCTAAGATCCACATGTAAAATATAAACTTTTTCACATTTTTTACAGGCTGACAAGTAAATCTATTCCTTTTTGCAAACGGTCCAATATTTTTATGTGTTTATATATATACTAAAGTTCATAAAATAAGTGTAGACCCAAAGTCCACATAAGAATTTTCAAAGAAAATCATTATTGTAAAAACTAATCCCAACTCCTAACTTTAAAGTCTAACAGAAAAAAGCATCAGGCTGTGAAGAACGTTAACACTCCATGAATTAGAAAAAAAACTTGGAAGTTATTATTAAAAAGCAATTGGACAAAGAAAACTCAGGTTTATACATGTATATTTATATATTTTTACAAATGTAAATGGCACAGAAGAAAACAAACGACAAACAAAATGTTATTACAAAGAAACAAACATTAAAACTGCTCAGGATACTGAGTACAGCTTGGAAAGATCCTCAGCAAAAGTCTTTCTGATGACATCTCTCTTGAGCTTGAGAGCGGCGGTGACGAGGCCGGATTCCGGCGTCCATGGCTCCGGAATAAGCTCTATCTTCGCCGGAATCTCAAACTTCTCCAAGCGGGCGCCCTTTGCAACCTACGTATAGAAAGACAGAAATAAAAAACAAATAACTCGGGAACACAACACGAATGATAAAAGAACAGTCTTAGGCTCGAGTTTTGCAAGGACCGTGAGCCAGTCACACCAACTTTGACACAATTTTGACACCATGTGTTTCACAGACAAGCATTTTACGGACGGATGTAGACAGAGGCAATTACTATCTCTAGATTGCACAGACAGTTATTATCTGTACATCTCTCTGAAGTGTCAAACTTCAACTTTGGTGTCAAACTCTAGTGTTAAAAGAGATTTATCCATTTTGGAGACAACTTTCTAATAAATGATGTCAAGACTTAAATATGTTTGAGCACATGCAAATAAATAGTGTTTGCATAATGTTTCTTGTTCTATGCTTGTGTTAAAAATAAAAAAGAACAATCTTAGCCTTCTATGACAACAACAAAAATATACCTTTACAAGGGAAGCATGGACCTCCTTCATCGTCTCAGCCTTCTTGCACAAGTCCGAGAAGTCGACGAATTGGATGCCGAGCTTAGCAGCCCAGTCTTCCAAAGCAGACTGTGCAGCCACCACTAGAGCGACGCAGAAACTATGGAAAGGATCCGCATGCACCATTACGTTGTCAACATATTGGCAAGTTGATAGGGCCGCCTCAACCTATATATATAGTCAAAAAACAAGTGTCCATTTGTAGCTCGGAAAATGATGGGTATAGTAAAAATACGAAAAATATTCTACGTGAATAAAAAAATATCTCATGAGCAAAGTAGGGTAGATATGATATGGAATCTGAAATCTGAAAGAAATGATATGAGATCTGAAATCTGAAATGAAAATGCCTGAAGAGATTTGAAATACCCACAAAAGGATTTTGATATCGAGAGATCAAAATTCATATCTATTGTGCTCGCAAAGTAGGCCGTAAATAACAAGATAGGGTAAAAATTTTGCACCTTGCCAAGAGAAACATACTCTCCATGCTGAAGTTTTACGATGTCCTTTTTGCGGTCAATAATTTCGAGGCAGCCATCCTCGTGAAACTGCCCTATATCGCCGGTGAAAAACCACCTCATTCCTCTTTCGTCAACCTTAAAAACAGTAAACAAACAGCATATCCAATCACACATCCAAATTGAAGAGTTAAAAAGACAATGCCACAAGAGACAAAAAGTACCTTGTAAACTTCCTTTGTTTTTTCCTCATTTTTGAAGTATCCCACGGTGACATTTGGCCCGCCTATAACAATCTCTCCTCGAGGCTTTGGTGAATCAGTTGTTAGATATCCGCCCTCAGGCCAATCTATCAACTAAAACACAACACAAGAAAGATGGGTTTAATCTACCAGAATAGTCCCAGATGTAATATTAAGGATGTTTATATATCAAGAAAAATTGTAAAGAGATGAAGATGAGTAAAATGCTATGTATATTCGAATTGGGAACCCCTCTCCAGGCTTGCAGAGGACATATTTATAAAGCTCATGAGAGCCAGCCGCCATGGGAAACCACCGCCCGGTTTCAGGGAGACATGGGTACATGGAACATGATCATGGGAGATCATGGGGAAATGTGGGACAGGATCATGGGATCACTCCTTGTCTCTTAACCCTTACTTTTATTACCTTGATATATGAGCATGGCAATGGCGCACCGACACGACCAACTGTTGGATCATCATACTCACTAAAAGTCCCACCCGCACATGTCTCCGTGAGGCCATAACCTTGACCGATGGGAGCACTGAAATCAAGAAAATTTCAGATTTTGATCTATAACATAACTGCAAGACCCCATAGTTACATATTTGCATGAGCTACATACATCTATGTGTAGTGAAGGAATGTTCAATCAATTGCCCTTTGAAATTAAAACAAAAAAATAACACTTCATAGTTAAATGTTTAAAGAATTTTTTATAAAACAAACTTGATTCTCAAAGTTTTATAATAGAGCGATTAAATGAAAATAAAATACATCCTTAGCCCCTAAAAGAAGTTTTTGTTTGCTTTTTCACGGAGTTTAAGAAAAAGTGAAATTGTATGGTGAAAGTGTATGCAGGAGAGAGAGAAATAATGTGAACAGCTTAAAAGAAAACAGGATGCTCTTTTTGGGACGAATTATTATCTAATATCATCTAATATATAAGATCAAAAGAATAAAAAACCCGATCATGGAAACCCAAAATCATAATTATCTGTATATGATAAGTTATCTATCAACATATGGATTTAAAAAAAGAAATTGCACTGACCTGAGACAAATGTTGATGAATCTTTGAGTATCTCCAGAAAGAGGAGCCCCTCCTGATAATATAAAACGAATACGCCCACCTAAAACAGCCCGGACGTTTCTAAACACTAACAAGTTCCAAAACATCCTCTCCAATCCCCACCCTCCAAACCAACTTCCATTGATTGCAGACAACCTACGCGCATAGGCTAAATCAAACAATGTCTTTGCTAGTCCACCCTTGGCATTTACCTGAATTCAGACTAATGGTCAGATTTCAAAACATTTTAAAAGATTCTCACACAATGGTTGAGCTGAATGCTTTAATGAAACTTGAGAAATAAGGCTTTGTTTGGTAGCCAAAATCAGACTTATGCTTTTCCCTTCGAAAATGTTAGCAAATTTCGCCAAATAACCCTTACCAAACGGGTTCTAAGGATGCATGCAATATATTTACTTATCTTTGAGAGTTTCATAAACATACCTTCTTTCGCACACCATCCCGAACACGATCGAGAATTGCAGGGACAGCTGCCATTAATGTCGGCCTTAACATAGAAGCATCACCTTTTGTTCCCTTCTTTATCTTGTTGGAAGTATCTGTAAGTGTCAAAGGAGAACCATATCCTATAGAACCTCCGATTGCCGGTATAATAGTCTGCAATGCAATCAGTGAAAATTAGTTGAAAACTGTTCTACCTTCTAAATATTAAGAATTTGTTACGAACTGAAATAGGTTGTATGTGGGGTTTATAGACCAAATGGGATCTCTCACTTGAGAGATTACTCTTTTGGGATGAATTCTGCTGTTTGGTGTGTGTAACAGAATTGATGTTTCATCCTAAAAAGTCAGCCTTATATGAGAAGTATACCAAACATTCTATTCCATCCATCCGTGAAATAAGTTACCACTTTCCTTTTTGGGACACCATAAAGTTAAGTTTCTGTTTCCTTCTTAGGAAAAGTTCTCGCATTTCTTAAACTCCATGAAATCCCAAATGGGGCATCGGCGGAGGTAGGATGCGATATGGTGGCTCATTGAAGTAGACATTGCTCTAACGAAATATTAAAACATCAATTTTCAATCTGAAAGGTGGGACAGAAGAATCTAGAAGTGCGAATGCTTTATTTAAAAGGCTTACCAAGATCAAATTGCTCGTTAGAATTTAAGAAAAGTGTTGAACAGTAGAAAGTGGGTATTTGAAATTTGTTTAGAAGAAAAAGAAGAGTTTTGGGAAAGTAAAGAAGTGTGAATATTATTTTGAGACAACCAGATAGGAAAGTGTGAAGATTAATTCGGGACGGACTTAATATTTTTGTATTTTTCATACATGTTAAAAATGGGGCATGGATTTTATGGAACATAGATTGAAATACATGGTCATAGACGGGAATATATCTTATAACATGGTCAAAACAATGCAAACAAATTTTACCATGGTAAATGCATTTTACCTCAGCTGCTAATTCTAAAATATGAGCAAGAGGAAGGTATGCTAAGTAGACATCCTTGCTTCCAAGACCAGGAACAATGGTCATAACACCCGAAGCTGTTGCTAGAACATTCCTGTGTGTCATCATCACACCCTACAAGGAACAAAGTCTCGTTAGCTAAATAATAGGTAGAGCTTGATAAAGAAATTTGAAACAAAACGAATGAGGAAATCATTCATTCATAACCGTGCATTAATGAAAAGAACTTAGCCAAAAGAAGGAAAAAGTATGAGCTTAAAAAAGAAAGTTAAAAGAAGAAAAACTGAGGGAATCATACAATCATACCCATACATTAATGCTGAGTAGAAGCTTAATTTAAAAAACATCTTTTCGGTGTTTTTTTTTCTTTCCCTACCATTTTGTGTTCCATAACAATCATAACATAACCAAAAAGTTCCATGTTTCATAACCCATACAAGTGGATTGACCTAGGCAACCTTACCTTAGGCAAACCAGTACTTCCACTGGTATACATAATCACGGCAATGTCAGAAGCAAGAGGTAACTCTGGTTCAACTGGGTTTTCCCTTCC